CCCCCCCCCCAAACATGCTGTGCTGCTTCAGACCTCAGCACACTACTGCCCTCGGCCACTGTCTTTGTAAATAAAGCTTTATTGGAACACAGCCTGTGCATTTGTTTACACGTGAGCTGCTCTCATGCTACAACAGAATTGAGTGGTGGTGACAGACACCGTATGACTCTCAAAGCCTTAAAAAACCTAGCCCTTTACAGAAAGTCTGTCAACTTGTTCTGGCGGTCCTCTCAGGAGAGGTGACCTCCTGCCCCATCTCTCTGGCCGACACCCACTGCTCTTTAGTTCTTGGTTTTAGACCACGCCTCTCTCTGAAACCTTTCTGATTCTCAATGCCAGGAGGATGAGCTTCCCACCACCACGAATCAGCCCTCCTTGGGCCCAGTCAGAGCCGGGCTCTTAGTGTTATTATTCTATTGCTTTTGTTTGTGTTCAGGTCTGTCTGGCTCATGGAACTGTGAGCTCTTGGAGGATGGAACCATGTCTTTTTCATCTTTGTAGCTGGTTTGGGGCCTGGCATACTGCCAGAATCTTAATAAAGGAATGAATGAATACATGTTTAGAAATTATCAAGCTCATACGATATATCCCTGGATGACACTAACCCTGCAAAGGGAAGGCATACTACCATGTGGATGCTCTCTGAGAGGCAGGAGTTCTGTCCCTGTCTCCAGGGCCATCTCTGAGGTACAGGAGACTCTGGTTTTCTGAATTTCCCATTTTAGACCTTTTAACTCCTGTCCTTTCTGCCACAATGGCCAAGCACTCTGAGATCACCTACAAATGTGAGAAAGGGGAGGCATGGGTGGGTGGCTGTGGGCAGGCAGGGTAGTTTCCACGTGTTACCCTGGGCAACAGGCCCCTGTAAGAGGCATCTGAACAAAAATATCTTCTTGCATATTCAACCAGTTAGGGGTCCTTCAGTTTTACAAATGTATTTGTGAGCAATCATAATCCCCCCGGGGGGCTGGGTCTGAAAGCTATCATTTAGGGCCAGTTGCTTGAAGAGATTAGGTCTTTGCACCTGTCCAGAACTCAACAATGCGGACTGAGTTGCAAGCAATGGTATAACGAACGAGGAAGGGCAGAGGGAGGAAGATAAGGACGGTGTTTATGTTCCACACTAATCCTTCTCTTGGAAAACATGGCACCTCTTAAGTATTTGGCCTGGATTCTAACTTAAAGGGAAACACAGCTCATGGTTGAGGGGAGGCTGAGGGAGAGGGCAGCGGCATGAGCTCAGCCATCAAGCCCCTACGGTGTGTCTGGAACTTTCTCCTGAGCCATCAAAATGGGCAAAGAAGAATAGCACAAGACAGCAAATATTCTCTGCGGGGCTGAAAAACTGCTGGCCTGGTTTTCTCCCTTCATCTAAAACAAACCACACCGTATACACAAACAACGCTGGAGTGGAACTCTGCCAAACTGTAACAGAATGTCTCCCTTCTCCTTTGTTCGACTGTATGATTTCTCCATAGTGACCTTTATTGCTTAATGCCGCTGAGGAGCGCTTACAGTAACAGGTCTGGCAGGCCTGACGGGGTGGAGAAGAGATCACACTTGTGAGGACCTGAAGAGCAGGCAGCAAGAAAACCAGCCTCGCAGGCTCATGGAAGCCAACAACTGCTTCTCCTCAGAGGGTTTCTCTGTGAGTGTGTGTGTGTGTGTATATATAATTTTTTTTTTTCTCCATTTCCTATGTTCCTCAATGAATGGCCTGCTCTAGAAGTGCAGAAGATAATCCATTAGCAACCATGGTGGAAACTTTTTCCTGAGAAAATGCCTCTGGGGTGGTAGGGTGGTCATTCCCAAGGACTGGCTGGCTGGTTGCCCCCATATGGAATGTTTCTGCAGGTCACCTTAGAGGACATCTCTTGTTCCTTCATTAGCTGGGAAGAAAGCCTCTTGCTGCAGCGGCTTTCCATGGGAAAGGGATGGGAAATCTTGCCATGCCTGAGTGAGGGCAAGCTCTAGGTCATCCCTGAAGACAGGGAAGTGGATTAAATCAGGGATTTAAATGTAGAGACACCACTTTAAAATGTAGAGGCCTAATTAAAAAAAAAAAAATCTCTAGAGAAAGCTATTCTACTTAAGGTGGTGAGGAAGAAGTGATTTTTATGGAGAAGCACATTCCTTCCTGCTTGGAAGACATTAACAAGTCTGTCAAAGGACTCCTTAGGAGCTCTTGGCTTCCCCTTATTATTTTGCCTGCTTAAGCACTACTAGCAAACTCCTTAGGGGGGGGCACCGGGAGAGGAGGCCTCTCTTGCTCCTTCATTAGCTGTGAGTAAAGCCCACATGCTGTGGCCGTCTGGAGTGGTGATGTCCCCAGGGTGCCTTGACGCTTCCCAGCCCTCCTCTGTGGAGGCGGGAAGGAGGGGGCAAGGCTGCTGGTCTTCCCTGACAGCACACACCAAACTCCACCTCCCAAACAGACATCTACTTTTACAAAATGTGTTTACTTCACATGGAGGAATAATACCGGTCAAAAAACTTCTTGGTCTACGTGTAGGAATTACAAAAATCTGTTAAAAGTTGCAGCAAAGAGAGATTTTTTCATCCATCTCTGGGCACATTTGACCAAGATGGCAGAGGAGTTTGGGGCAGGAGAGAGAGAGAAGCTTAGTGTTCACCTTCTAGGTTTATTCTATCCCTTACATTTTTGTTTTCTCTAAGTCCAATGGAGCTCTTGCCAGGAAATCTTTTCATTCAAAATACCACTCAAAATGAAACAAATAACCAAGGAGCTGGATCTAATGCTTATGTACAATGGTTCTTTGTAGCACAAAAGGAAACCTAACACCAGACTAGGTTTTCTGTTCTGCAGTAGGAGAGACATTAAAACTCTAAAAGGTGACACACTGCACTTTGGAGCCATCTTGCAATGGGGGACTTTAAGTTCATATCCAGTTGTTGACAAAACTGAGCCCTGGAGGTGTTTTCCTTTTTCATCTCAACATCTCATTCATCCTAAAATCTTAGGGAAAAAAAATCCAAACTGCAAAGAGTTTTCAAAAAAAACGTTTTTCTTTTTAAAGCAAATGGCCCCATGAAAACACAAGGTCAGCGGAGCTCAGTGTGTGTGTACTGAGTTTGGAGAGCTACGCAGAGGGCAGTGACCTATTAGCAACACATTTCAAAACAAAACTCACCCCAAACCTGTACAGAATGGTTTCAAAGCCTTAGGAGCGACAGAGTATACATATTTTATGAATTGGTTGGAGAACAATCCCGCCTCTTACTAGTTAACATACTGATGAGTGCCCCCATGTTCACGGACAAGGACAGACTGAAAGTAAACACACAGAAGGGTGCTTTTGGAAGCATCCTGTCCCAGGCAGCTGATCACGGTGGCCCCGCACCACAACACAAGCTTCTCTTTGAGTTGTCCTTGCTCGGTGGGGCTTTCTCTAGTTTCGGGCTGTCACTTAAACTACCCCATTTACAGTATGTGTGAGAAATTTGGCACAAGAGCCCGGTCTTCTCCCCGCTCTTTTCATTCCTGATTCTTTTGTTGCCCTCCGGGGGAACTGCACATCTGTGTCTCAGGTGAAAAGGCAAACCAAAGAACAAACCTTGAGATCTTTCTCGGGGCCATGAGTGGCCTGGACCAAGGTCACTGAGGAAACACGAAAGGAACGTTAACTGGGCCATGTGTGCGTGCGTGAGTGCGGGCTCTCCCATAAGCCCTGTCCCCTTCCGGGGAATGGCCTCATGAGGCTGAGGCTGCTGACCCCAAAAGCTGCACCCACGATTCTCCTCCCAAACAAGGAGGTTTGCCTGCCAGCTGCTGGAGGGTTAACCACTTTCAAAACACAGACCGAGGCCCCTTCGTTCAAGACTGACCCTAAAAACAGTGACATTTTAATGCATCGGACATGCGGTGGCTCCCGCGACCCTGTGGGTCTATTCACCATCACAGACCCCACAAACTGCTCGACAGCTCATGCTAGGGGACCATTCCTTCTCTTGCCTACCCCCAGAAGCACCGCACCCATCCACACAACCCACATCTAAGCGGTCTCCTCCACGGGCTGAAAAGAACGCCTCTTGGAACGTGAAGCATGAATATAAAAGGGTTTCCCATGACAGTGATCACTGAATCACGGGGAATAAAGCCAGAAGGCGAATTTGCAATTCATCACATTATCCCCTGTTGTCTCAAATGTGATTCCTTTAAAGGCAGGCTGCATAGATACTCTTTCCCAAGAATTTTTTTTTTTCTTCCCGTAGCACATGGTATATTCTTGTTTTCGCAGAATATCCGAATGAGGATAAAACGATAAAAAAAAAAATTACAATAGATTAATTGCATCCCTTGAATCACATTATATTTTTGGTGCATTAAAAAGAGGAGGAAAGGAAAAAGCAACCAGCATAATAAACTCAGCCTAGAGAACTGTGTTAGTGATTGAAGGGTTAACACGGATTTTAGAAGTGGTTAAAAATAGTATTAGAGGATTATACATACAACAGTTTGAAATTCATATGCATTGCATTTTTTTTTTTTCCTTTAAAAATGGTAAAATGTTTGGCAAATGTAAGCAAATGACTTGGACTGTGTGGGTTTCACCGGCTCTGAGCGAAGTCAATCATAGCCAGGCGAGGCCCACCGCTTCCTGAGGTCACTCTGCGGGGCTGGGGGGCGCTGCGGTGGGGGGGGGGGAAGTGAGGTGCTGGCCCCCCACGCCCGGCTCCCCCCTCGGGCCCTCAGTCTTGAACATGAACATGGAGCTGGTGAGAGGTGCCAATTAGACTCCAGCACGGATCACCCATTAGCATCGCTGAGAGAACTCGGGGGCCTTGAACCACATGCAGACTGGGTGAGTCGTCTACACAGTGACCCATATTGCGAAAGTTAGAGGAGGGAGCACCCGCTCCTCCAACTTGCATGCTCCCCACCCCCACGTGGAGGAGGCAGGTAGCACGGGGTGTGTGTCCCTAGTGCTTATCCTGGTTGTCAACTTGTGATGTTTAGTAGACTTTAAAAAAAAATTTGTTTTGTATGTGTATGTATATCCAGAAACGTCCATCCTCCAAGCTGGCCACCACTGTTCCCTGAATTTGGCAGTGCCTGTTGCTTGCAGCTGTCGGCATCCCGAAAAAGCATGAGGTGCCTTCAAAGAGTAGACTCTGGGCCCCAGCAGGTCGGACGACAAACACACGATCCCATGCTCTCCTTATTCTGAATCCTGTCTGGCTCTGATTTTGAGAAAGAGGACAAAGGTCGTGTTGTGTGTGTTGTGTGTACGTGTGTGTGTGTCTGTACTGAGTTTGTGGGCTTTTTTTTTTTTTTTGGGAAACTTTTTTTTTTTTTAGGAAAAATGACCCTTTGATTACTAATACAGAGTTCAACCTCCTTTCGTCACTATAAAACGGACTCCATGTTTTCACACCACTCATGATCTTCAAGGTTATAGATAAATTTTGTCCTATGGGTCTGGCTTGCGGGCACAGGGTCCCTCCCCAGATTGTCTAGGGTCAGAGTAGAGGCAAAGAACTCACTGGTGCTCAGCCCGCCTTCGTGGTTTTTGATGTAGCGTTTATAGTTTTTCCTCAGGCACTGCCATGTGGTCGTATAGAGGACGAAGGCGGACGACTTCAGCACGATGGCGATGCTGACGTACAAGTATCTGTAGGCCACGTTGTCATACAGGACGCAGGCGCCTTGCTCCCCGCAGAAGGTGCTCCAGAACAGGCAGGTGGAGTCGATGCCGGCCCCGAAGATGAGGGGAGGGGGGATGAAGCCTGCGAGAGGGCAAAGAACACATCACACTCCCGCTCCGGCTCCGCAGGTTGGTCTCTCCCCATCCGCACGCGTGTACCCACTCTCCTTACCGTTCCTGGTGTCGACGCAGTGCGACCTCCTAGAGGGAAATGCAAGGTGGGTACTGCACTCCATGTACTGTGTTCCCGCACGGCCCTTCTAAGGCTGTGTGTGTGAGCAGAGGGAGCTGGGGCCAGAAGTTGAACACGAGTACCCTTTACCTTGTGTCTATATACACATACATGTGATAATATATATGTATGCACATGCATGTACATAAACATGCATAACATGCATGCACACATGTGTACGCAGGTATCTAAGATGGAAAATACCTGCACACATGCTAACAATTTCCCTTCCCCTAGACGTTACCACTGCATTGAATCCTTTTCGTCCTGAGCTGGAAACTGGTTTTAAAACCTTCACAATAGAGTATTTCAGGTGCTTTCAACCAGTGATCAAAAGTGGCAGAGGGGATAAAAACTAGTCTCCTTAATTCATGTCTGTGTTTCTGTCCCTTGTCCAAGCTCAAAGGTTATCAGTCCTGGCTGCACATTTAAAATCATCCAAGGTGCTCCATCCTAGGACAACTGAATTAGAATGTTTGGTGTGTGGCCGGGTCGTCAGGATTGTGAAAGCATCCCCTGGTGAGGGGGGAAAGCCTCTCATTTGTACTATGGGAAATCCATGGATGGCTCATTAATACAAATTAATTGCTTCACAAAAAAAAGGATCCCCAAGGCCAGAATGTGCTGCCAATCATACCCAGGGAGAGACCTCAAAAGCAGAACATGATCACTGCAAGCAGGTGGCAACGTAGCTGAGATCCCAGTGCTGGGGTAGCCTGCGATCTGGAGTGTTCTTTCCAGGGCCAGCCCTGGACTGTCAGAGTTTCACGTTTTATCAAGGAAGGTCCCTCTGAGAATCCGATGTGATGAGATACAGATCCTTAGTCCAGGAAAATACATCTACCCGCAAAATGACACCCATGTTTCAGGGCATTCGTGGGCCCCTAAAGCCCCTCACGGTCCCCAGATTTAGAACACCTGTGTTACCCAGGCTGTGTCCCTCCCTTCTGAGCCAGGGAGGGAAAAGGCTTACTGAGGGAAACAGCACTTCCTTGGTTTTAATGACAGGCCCAGAATGGGTGTGAGGGGGCCTGCCCTGCCCCAACAGTGCGAACGAGGTTGGCAGAGCTCCTGGCTCCCCAGACGCCTTGGCACCGCGCAGCTCTGGCCCCAGCCCGGAGAGAAACCCCAGAGAAGGGATTTTAGTTGAAACCTCGTTAAAACTGCCCAAGCAGGTTGATTCCATAGGTAAACTCCAAGCTCAAAATCCTGCACGATCTGCTCCCTCTTTGCACCTTCTAAGTCAGCTTGGGCCCGCCGAAGGAAAGTCCTCATCCCAGCATTCTCTGCCCCAAAGTGTCTGACGCCTTCCTCACTGGCCGCTGGGAGTTCTCCCAGCCCCTCCAACAAATGCCTTTCTTCATTTAACTGAACATGATCCCACTGGGCTAACTGTCCTGACAACCACATAGGAGAAACTAAGTCACACGCCACAGTATTTAGGTAAAGAAATGGAGATCTGGAGCCAATTTAAATTGATAGACTTGGCAAAAGAATGGGACAAATCTGGCTGTTTCTATGGCCCAATGGGATCGTTTGAATCCCTTCACCAAATTTCTCTGGGTTTTAGGAGTTGTGATAGCCCCCAAGTGCTCCTCCCTCCTTTTTCTTCTGTCTCTCTTGAGGTCACTTTGTCCTAGCTCACCCATCACCCAGCAATGAGGTGCCAAGACTCCGAAACCTCTGACTACAGTTCTGCCATGCGAAGGGACGGACAGCCCAGGGGCTCCAAGAGCTGCAGGCAAATCCACACTGGGCAAATCAGGTCCTATTTTCAGCACATCCCAGGAAATTTGCAATATAAAGGAGACATTCTTTAATCCTTGCTCGGACCTAAACAGCCCTCTAAAATGCCAATATGTAACTCCTTCATGTATCTGTATCTGTGCAAGGGTTTTAAAAATATTGTTATTGTTAAAGTAGGGCATCCTTCTTTGTGCTAACCGTGTCAATTTTACCCTGCCTGTCAAGCTCCATTACCAGATGAGGCAGCCCTGGAAGGAGTCAGAAAAACCCTTCAAACAGAAATTAGAAAGCTAAGTGCCTAGAAAAGTTTTTCACATTTTGGAGAGCCTTTGTGAGAGAAAAGAACGAACCTTTAACTTGAGTCAAAAGCCTTGGGGTGAGTCGCTTCATCTCTTGGTGTCTCAGTTTCTTGATCTTTAAAAATGGAGCTAATACCACCCCCCCCGGCCAGCGTCAAGGTGAACACCAGTACAAATGCGGTGTTATGTACAGGTCTGGTTCTTCCACATGGCCAGAGCCCTTGTTATCTGATTCATGTTCTACAGGGGACTTGGGGTAACCGTTTAAACTCTGGGTTTAATACTTTAAGTATAACCTTTATGAGGTTCCTTTTAGATTTCTGAAAAAAAAAAAATTGGCTTTTCCACCAAATTCATCTTCTCCTTTATAGTGACTTTAAATATTCTTCCCCAAAGGGGAGCTCTGGCTATCAGGTATGCAGAGAATACGAGAGGAAGAACTGACTGGATCTCTTTCACTAGAGGTCATTCTAGCACTCACCTGATTAGTCACAGAGGGGAGTTCCACCTGGTGGCTAATTCTCACATGCGGCCACTCCTCATTCTGTTTCTCACTCAGGTGGACCAAATACACACTCGGCCAGTCCCTACAAGATCCCACCTCCCCAGACACCAATGGGAGACTCCCTTACAATGGCGGAAGTTAAGGAAAGGAAACCTCATTAAAGTGGAGTAGGGAGGACAGAAGGGGGGGCCATACAACCAGAAGAACTGTCAATTACAGACCCCCAACAGGGAAAGATGTACATCGTATCTCCTACAAGAAATGGATGACCCCGGCAACTCAGCCAGTAAGAACCTGTAATCACCCTGAACTCTTGCTCTTCTCCAATGGACTTTCATTCAGTACCCCTTCTGAGGTCCTCTTCCTCCTCCATAAAGTAATCTTCCTCTCCTTTAGTTTAGGATAGGACTTGCCTATGGTTTTGCCGTAGCTTACATGCCCGGAATTGCAATCCTGTTATTCTTGAATAACCCCCCTCCCTTTTTTTTTGCTGGTAAAATAATGGGCTTTTATTTTTAAGGTTCACATTATTTAGTGATCAGAGTGGGATCCAGAGAGGATCCAATCAACAGGCTTAGTAAAAGCTAGAATACTTTGTGAGTAAAGCAGTGCGGGCACCCAGAGCCAAGTGAGCTGCTCTCCTGATGACCTTAGAGTTTGCAGGTAAGTTTTCTCCTGGATTTCAAGCTCCACTCTGTGTTTTGAGCTCTCCAGACTATTCGGGATCTGTTTTAAGGCTTTGTTCTTTCTGAGAGTACTCATTTGGCCTTTGGTAGGATTCCTTTTGGAATCATGTCTTTCCTGTTGAAAAACTGTGCTGTTTAGGACATTTTTGTTACTTTAGAGAATGCACCTCTTAAGAAATGGAGTCCCAGCCCTCAAAATGCTTTAGGGGGTGCCCTCCCCCTTCTGGGACCCCAGTTGGTTTTATGTTTAAAAACTGCAGTCCCTCTTCATGCGCATTTCTAACTAAATGGACCAACTTAACCAAAAGTCATTTGGAACTTTAGTGGGGAACGTTCCATCTTCCTAAACTGACTCTTCTCAAAACTGGATTGGACAGGCCTGGCTCTAAAATTATCAACTGAATGGCATGCCTATATTGATTGGTATTTTGCAGCTTCCAAACATTATCAGGAATCTAAAATTTATACTAGCTGAGGCAAACAAAGAAAAAAGGGCAGCTAAAGCCGCTTTTCTCTTCCCTGTTCCTCTTTGTCTCAGGATATATGGCAGCCTCCTAGCTCAGATCCAACCTCTGGCGCCATTTTCCTCTATTTGCTCTGCAGGTCCTCTATATTCCCCCAAGCTAATCCTTTCTTTCAACTTTGCTTTCCCTATGAAGGAACTTCTCCCTCCTCTCCCAGACCTATTAAAATCTCCTTTAAAGTTAAGTCTCGGAGGATCCAAATAAGCCCCACATTTCTTATGTTCCCTGGAATAGGGCCAAACTGTGAGCCATAGTTAGAGTTTCCCAAAGTGACTGAGGACCCCCATAAGGTTTGCTGAAGAATTTAACAGAGTTATTCACATTTACCAACCTGGTTTCTCAGATTTATATTAGTCCACATTCCTGTTGGCGAGGGCCTGGCCAAACAATGGATGAAACTAGCCCGATGGGAACAGCCTGAAGGGGATTTAGAGAAAACAGACCCCTAACTTTTGGCAGGATGCTAGAACACTCTCCACAAAGCTTCATCAAGCAATTATAGTAGCTTTTACTAAGCCTGCTGACTGGAACAAAATTCAAGTTTGCACACAAAAGCCTGATGAACCTGTTCATGACTATTACAATCAACTCCAAATTGTCTTTAAAGAACATTCTGGTCTTCCTTTAGATGTAGAATTCACCCGGGGAGCACTGAACTCAATTTATTATTTGTTATTATTAACATGGTATTTTATTTATTTTCTTTCTTTTTATTATTGTTTTTTTGAGAGTGAGCGAGCGAGAATCCAAAGACGTGCCCCCACTCAGTACGGAGCCTGACGCGGGGCTCAATCTGACGACCCTCAGCTGATGACCTGAGCCAAAAATCAAGAATTGGACACTCAACTGACTGAGCCACGCAGGCGCTCCGGTATTTCTTCTTTAGTTAAAAGGATCAGGTTGGAATGGGAAACTGCCCACCGCAGATTTAATTTGTCAAATCAGCTCACTTGTACCCTAGATGAGTCACCTAAAAGAAAGTACTAAAATTCTTAATCTTCAATGCTGGCAAATGAACACCCCTCAACAAAACCAACCCTTCCTTAATTTCTGATATTACTGCTAAGGGCCAGGACTGTGGAAAAAGATGGTTACCAAGTGCTTCAGGCACCTGCAGCCTTCTATCCAGCCTTTTCGATGGCCTCTTAATTCCCAGTGTTGGGGTTCCGAGGAACTACAGGAGCTCTTCCCAATCCTCTTTCCTGATCAGCTCAGAGAAACCACTCTCCAGATTGGGAATGAATCTCTTTGTCTTTACTGATACCTGAGCTACATTCTCGTTGCTCAAGCCCCTGCCTCGGATACGAAACCAGTTCAAATAGTGGGGATCTTTAATAAACCTCAACAGCTTCCCATCTCTGAACCTAGTCCCCTTTGTTTAGGCCCACTGATACTCACCCTTTTCTCATTTATTTATTGGGCTGAGATTTCTTAGAAAAATATCATGCCAGAATTTCTTTCTTCCAAAGAACCTGACAGTAGTAATCAAAATAGCCAACCAGGCAAATTAAAGGACCCTTTGGCATCTATTATTTGCTCCAACTCTGCCAGCACTGTAGCTGAGTCTGGGGACACCAATCATTTGTCTCTGTTGGATCAGCTACCATCCTTTTTATGGGCAAGATCTTCAATTGTTTTTGGTAGAATCCACAGTATACCTCACATCAAGATTCAAATAGATCCCTCAAAACCTGTCATGGTCCAAAGGGATGTTCTCGCAAATGATCATTTGGAAAAACTGACCAGAGATGCCCAACAATAGGCCCCAGAGAAGGAAAAACAGTAGTAGAAGTCTAATAATTGTTGGTTCAACAAAAAGAGAGAACTCTGCTTTGAACCAACTAACCATCTGGCCCTACCAGAAACTCTAAAATTCCCACTACTTACAAATGTACTAAACCATTGGTCTACTGACAAAATGATAGCATGTATGAATCAATATTGGTGAGGAAATATTAAGAAGGCGGACAATGTGCATGCCTCACTTGTCTCCCCCTGTCCAAAACACAATGCAGGGAAACCTGTTTGCGTTGCTCTAGGACGCTTTTTAATGGGCCATTCGAGGTTTGCAGGTGAATTTCGTGTTTTAGTCATGGTTTGTATGTTTCCTCACCAGACTGAGGCTTTCCCTTACAGACAGTCCACTGCTTTCTCTGTGGCTAAAACTCTGTTAGAAGAAATGATTCCCACCTGGGGAACTCTTCTCGAACATCATAGTGATCGGGGACCCCATTTTACCTGTCCGGTGCTTTGAAAGTCTGCGCTGTTTGGCCAGTTTTGGAACACTTTCATTGTGCATCCCATTCTCAGTCCTCAGGGTTATTTGAATGGACTAACGGTGCTATGAACACTCCATTGGCAATATTTGTAGTGAACCCTCCGAAAACCCTGGCTGAAAGCACTGCTCTTTGCTTTCTAAATCTCAGCCCCACCCCTGCTGGGATAGTTACAGGATGTCCAATGTGCTTGTCTCCTGCCTCCTTTGGTAATAGCACTCCAGCTGGTCTTAAGGAGTGTGTTAACGTGAAGCAAGTTAACTCTTACTTGCTGACCTAAGTCCCTTGATCTGTAGCAGAACTAATTTACTTGGAGATTTGCAGACCACTGGCCTTGAGAAGGACCAGAACTTTGCCAGGCCCTAGACACCAGCAAGTCTCTTTGAAGCCACCTCAGCTTTCTAATTAGCCTAGCAATTTTTAAAGCAAAATGTTTTTTGTTTTTTTGTTTTGTTTTGAGGTCACACAGATGACTTTACTGACCGCTCTTTGTGTAGCCGTAGACCTTGCCCTTGCCCCCGTGGAACACAGTACTCCTGCACATCACAAGACAAGAACCGGCACCCCCGAGCATGGAGAGAATGTTTATAGCCAGCAGCATCCCATCTGTACATGATCAAGAAATGTCACAGGCCACTGCACTCCCTTTGCTGATGACCCTAAACCCCTTTAGAAACCTCTGGGCCAGGTGGAAACCTCAGAGTTGGCTTTTGGACAAGAGTCTGCCTTCTTCCCACGTGACCAGCCTTAAAGCTCATGTTCCTTTCCAATCACAAACTCGTCTCTTGGAATATCGGCCTCCTGAGCAACTGGAAGCCCAACACATTGACCCGCCACTGATAAGATATACTTTAATACTGTAAAGGCCTCATTGCTTCTGTAATAACAGCCATGCTTCAGTGGAACAATCTTTTCACTGTGCCCTCATGGGAGATGAAGACCTTGAACATCACATCTGGCAACAACACCTCCAGGAAGATGTTCTTCAACCTCGCACTGCTAACCAACCCTGTGCTGCCAAACGCCAGGAAACGGACTCCTGGATTCACGTGACTCATCCAAAGAGAGCACCAATCCCTGACTGGACCCGCACCCATCTGGTGACCTGAAAATAAAGATCTCCCAGCACCGAAGCAGACAACATCCAGTGGGATCCGTGGGCCAGGCCTGTGAGAAGGTTCTGGGCTAAAGAAGTCTGTCTTTTTTCATCTGGATATTAACAGACATAGAATCTTATCCAAACTTCATGGTTTCCGAATTTCAACTTTATTATTAGTAACATCTCTATGTTCCAGAAGTTCTTTCAAGATAACAATGCTGCTTTTAAAAGTCTCTGAAGTTTCGCTGTTTTGCAGAAAGTCCACCCGCGGTTGCTTCATGTTTATACACATGCAGTGTATCTTCCCAAATGCATGTGGTTAATTCTTCTAGGGAGTTCCTGCAGTGTCCACTGTTCTGTCCTCATGACTGCTTTGAGTGGGGACTCCCAGGAGGCATATGTGACTCTGGGGTTTATCTCCGGAAGGGGGATTTTTCTTCCCTAAGCTGGAATGAGGGCCAATAGTTTAAGTTGGCTCCTTTCAGATCTAGGATCTTGTTTTAAAACCTCATCACACAATTTGGAATGGTCGTGTTACTTTTGATTCTGTACTTACTACCTGTCAAACCTTTGTAAAAACACTATACCCAATAAGGACATGATCTCCAGTGCCTGAGACTTCTGCTACCTGTCCTTGTTACTCGAATGGGACCTCAGTAGGTTTCCCATCTGCACAATGTCCCACTGCCGTGTGACACGACACCCAGGAAAGATCCATCCTGGCAATGAAGGACAAAGGCCACTGAATTACGAAAACGTGACTCTTGCTCAGTGATGCTTCCAGAGAAAGATCTTGATCAAAAGGGGAAAATGTAAAAATAAAGGGACACCTCACTGAAATGGAGTGGGGAAGATAGACTAGGGAGGCATACCACTCAGGGTTAATTATGGGAAGAACGATCCCAGTGGAAGAATCATCAATTACGGGTGCCAAGAGGGAATAAAGTACACTGCATCTCCTTCAATGCACCATCCCAGGAACTCAGCCACTGAGGACCCATCACCACTCTGGACTTGTGCTTTCCTTCAGAACAATCCCTCCCAACTTCCTCCTCTTTCTAGATAAAATAAGATCCCTCTCCTTTGTTTACAATGGGACTTGCCTGTAGTTTTGCAGTAGCCTGTATGTCCTGAACTGCAATTCTGTTATTCCTGAATAAACCCATTTTTGCTAGTAAATAACTTTCATTTTTAAGGTTAACACGATAACTACTATTAACTACCCCCTCTCCCCAGCACTGTGTGGGGGCGGTACTCTCAATATATTATAAGCCCCCTCCATAACCCTGTAACACCCCCTATTTTATATGCAGAGAAACTGAAGCTGAGAGATTAATTATTTGTCCCAGGCTTGACATTTCAAAACCCCAAACCCAATAATCTCCTTCTTACTAATTCAAAGTTTGTTGATTTGACGATATTTTAGGGCTCTTATCAGGGATTTCCAGGGCTATAGAAAACATCTTATTTGCCCTCCCGCTAAGCTCCTAGGAATAACTGGCTGGCGGAAGGCTGGTTTTGAAGCTTTCGGAGGTGAAATACACAGGGGTTCTGATCTTTGCAAGGTGTAGAGGGGGAAACACGCACACACGTTCTGATCTTTGCAAAGTGCTTAGTCCTCCCTACTCCTGGGTTGTTAATGCATCGAGAAGGCTGACAGACTGTTTTGTAAGCAAACAGTACTTTGGAGAACACCTCAGGCACGACTAGGGGCAGATGCTTGTCAGGAGAAAATGCTGACAGTCGCCTTTCTTCAGGCAGGGAGCTCACGGCTGCAGGATGCTTGGTGGTGGGGAGGCAATGAGAGCTTTGGGACTGGAGACAGCCGACTCTGGATTCCAGCTCTGCCACCTGGGAGCTAGTGACCCTGGGAAGTCACTCAACTTCAATGAATCTCAGTTGCATTGTTTATTAAAATGGGCACAAAATGCCTTCTGGTATGGAGTTTTCATACAGATTAAATGAGACGGCATTTGTGAGAGCCTCTCACGTAGCCGGCTCTTAACAGATCTTGTGCCTTTCCTGTTCTTTGGATACCTGGAAACGTGTCCCCCTTTACAGCACCATCTCTAGAGAGCTGCAGAACACTCTTCAAGCCAAGACTCAGAGAATGACCGCAACTGGCAAGAATCCTTCATGTCGTAAGAATAAGTCAGTTGTGGAGGATAATCAGCCGCTTCCAGAAGGGAGGCCAAGTGGATAAGGTGTAAAATTAGTGCCTACTTCTGCTCTGAGCATCTTCATTCTG